TTTCTCTTAACTCACGATCCTTCCCAGAGAGTCCATGTCTCCCTTTGCTCCCAACCACAGACAGAAGAGGAACTGAAGGTCAGAGCAGAGGGGGCAGGAAGCTGAGCAAGACTGAGGGAGGAGGCGGTGTAATCGTGATTGATCATATTTATAATAGCTCCCATACTGGTGTTGGAGCCCTGGGCTAAGTGTTTGTTGTTGTTGTTAGCGGCCGTTGACTTGACCCCACGACTCATGGTGACGCCATGCACAATGGGACAAAATGCTGCCCAGTCCTGCATCACCCCCATGATCTGTTTCAGGTTGGACTGTTGTGATCCACAGTGTTTGCATCAGCTGATTTTTGGAAGTAGATCACCAGGTCTTTCTTCCTAGTCATCCTAGTCTGGAAGCTCCACTGAAACCTATTCAGCATCATAGCAACATGCAAGCCTCTACTGACAGACGGGGGTGGCTGTGCATGAGGTGCATTGGCTGGGAATCGAACACTGGTCTCCAACACGGAAGGCGAGAGTCCGCCACTGAACCACCACTGCTGTCTTGCTAAGTGTACAGCACAAGAGCAGTGGTGGTTCATTTATAATCTTATGAGGTTGGTGGCAGCTGCCCTGTTATGGAGGAGAAAACTGAGTCCGAAAGAGGTTAAGTAACTTGCTCGAGGTTACACAGCTAGGGAGGCTAGAGCCAGCCCCAAACTAGCTGTACCTGATCCCAGAGTGTGGGAGACTGAGAGCTGAGGAGGGGAGCATGAAGGAGGCTCTAGAGAGGCTCCCACGCCTTCCAGGGCTCAGATTCAAAGCCATCTGGGAGCCTCCTTCGCTTTCTCCAGGCCCTCAAGCTTGGTCCTTCTGGCCTCTCCAACATTCTGGGATCTGGGCAGCATCAAGGAAGCCCAAGATGCTGTGAGTTTTGTGCCTCTCCCCGCTAATGCAGAGATGAGGAATAGCCCTGTGGCCAGGTGTGTAAGTCTCATGAGTGTCTTTGGTTGCTGCCAGGCAAGGGGCCAGAATCCCAGGGGTGGCAACAGCTGAGACTTTGAAATGCACCTCCTTGCCTGGCCTCTAGCCTGCCCTGCTTACCTTCAGATGTGTGGGCCTGGGCTTAGCTCCTTCCTGGCTATGGAACGCTCTGTCCAGGTGGCCTCCCACCTGGTGTCACCATGGACTGTGAGGTCCTGTCTAAGATCATTTCTCAGCTTTGTCTTCCCCTACAGTCCGTGTGGTAGATAGCACTCACACATGCTCACTGGGGGTACAGATAAGGATGGTTAGGATGAGTGATGGGTGTGCCCAAGCCTGGTGGGCTCTGACCCCACCTCTTTATCTCACACATCTAAGCACATCAAAATCCACTGCAGTGATGGGCTTGGCATGAACTCCTCTAAGTAATTTGCAAATGGAATTTTGTTAGTGACAGCCACCCCAGCAGTTCCTGGGCTGAGGCCAGGAGTTGTGTCTGGCTCACCCTGGTATCCTCTGCATCCAGCACCCTGCTTGACACAGAGGGTGTTGGTGTGTGTCTGCTGAAGGAGCTGGCAGAGCGGTCAGACAGACAGTTTGTTCTGCCTTCCTTCTTTTACCCGTTGTTGTTGGCTGTTGTTGAGTCAGCCCCGACTCATGGTGACCCTGTGCCCAATGGAACAAAATGCTGCCTGGCCTGTGCCATCCCCATGATTGGTTATGGATCAGACCACTGTGACTCACAGGGTTTCCACTGATTTTTGGAAGTAGATCGCCAAGCCTTTCTTCCTAGTCTGTCCTAGTCTGGAAGCTCTGCTGAAAACCTGTTCAGCATCTTTCACTCATCAAGCCCTTTATCTTAGTTGGGACTTTTTCAGTTGAGAGGGAGAGAAATCCACCTCAAACTGGCTTTAGGAATAAAGGGATATATTGGCTCTTCAAGCAGTTTGCAATTGGCTGCTAACTGAAAAGTTGGCCGTTTGAACCCGTTGAACCCATCCAGCAGTGCCTTGAAAGAAAGTCCTGGCAATATGCTTCTGTAAAGATTACAGCCAAGTCTGGGGTCTTAAAAGCTAGCGAGCGGCCATCTAAGATGCATCAATTGGTCCCAACCACCTAGAGTAAAGGAGAATGAAGAATACCATAGATACATGGAAAGTATTAGTTCAAGAGACAGAAAGGGCCACATAAACAAGAGACTTCTTCAGCCTGAGACCAGAAGAACTAGATGGTGCCCGGCTACCACCAATGACCATCCTGACAGGGAATACAACAGAGGGTCCCTGATGGAGCAGGAGAAAGCTGGGGTGCAGAACTCAAATTCATGTAAAAAGACCAGACTTAATGGTTCGAATGAGACTGGAGGGACCCCAGAAGACATGGCCCCCAGACTCTCTGTTAACCTAAAACTAAAACCATTCCCATGCCAACTCTTCAGACAAAGATTAGACTGGACTGTGGGACATAAAATGACACTCGTGAAGAGTGTGCTTCTTAGCTCAAGTAGATACAGGAGACTAAATGGGCAGCTGCTGTCCAGAGGCAAGATGAGAAGGCAGAGAGGGTCAGGAGCTGGTAGAGTGGACACAGAAAACTAGGGGTAGAAAGGAGGAGTGCGCTGTCACAGTATGGGGAGAGCAACTAGGGTCACATAACAACGTGTCTATAAATTTTGTATGCGAGTCTAACTTGAATTGTAAACTTTCACTTAAAACACAACAACGACAACAACTTAAACAAACAAAAAGTTTACAGCCAAGAAAACCCTGTGGAGCAGTTCTACTCTGGGGCCAGCTGGAAGGCAACTGACATCGACAACAACAACAGCAACAGTGTACCCAGGGGTGGAGTGACTTCCTGCACAGCTGGATCCAGGAATCCAGATGACATCATAAAGCGTATCTTTCTCATACCTCCCCGTCTCCCTCTATTCTCTGCTGTGTGTGGGTTGCCTTCATTTTCCTGTGTTCCTCGAGGCCCCGAGCTCCCAGCCTGCCAGCCTAGCAACCCTGAGGGAAGGAGAGGGGAGAGCACCCTGGAGGTGAGTCCGATTGGATCAGCCTCGGTCTCATGCCCACTCCTGAACCGGTCACGGTGGGCAGGAGAAGGGAAGGCCTGGATTGGCCAGGCCTGGTCAGGTGCTCACTTCTGATCCCAGGGATGGACTGAATGCTGAGGTGTTTTTCTCAGAGGGAGATTATGTGGATGCAGTACCCAAGGCGTCCACCACACCTCTTGGGCAGCTCCTGTCTGGAGGTGAGATGAGAAGGCAGAAAGGCTCAGGAGCTGGTTGAATGGACATGGGAAACCCGGGGTGGAAAGGGGGAGTGTGCTGTCACATTATAGGGATTGCAACTAGTGTCACATAACAATGTGTGTATAAATTTTTGTATGAGAAGTTAACTTGAGCTGTAAACTTTCACCTAAAGCACAATAAAAGAAGAAGAAGCCCCGTGGGAACATCTATCTCAATTGGTATAACGTAGTTTATAAAGAAAATGTTCAATGTTCTACTTGGGTGAGTAGCATCTGGGGTCTTAAAAGCCTGTGAGCAGCTATCTAAGATACTCCACTGGTCTCACCCCATCTGGAGCAAGGGAGAATGAAAAAACCAAAGACACAAGCGAAAGATTGGTCCAAATGACTGATGAACCACAAGTACTACAGCCTCCACCAGACTGAGTCTAGCACAACTAGATGGTGCCCAGCTACCACCACAACTGTTCTGATAGAGATCACAATAGAAGGTCCTGGACAGAGCTGGAGACAAATGTAGAACAAAACTCTAACTCACACAAAAAAGACCAAGCTTACTGGCCTGACAGAGACTGGAGAAACCCTGAGAGCATGGTCCCTGGACATCCTTTTAGCTCAGTAATGAAGTCACTCCTGAGGTTCACCCTTATATGAGACCAAATAGGCACACCAGCCCAAGGGCAAGGACGAGAAGGCAGGAGGGGACACGAAAGTTGGTAATGGGCAACCCAAGATCAAGAAGGGGGAGAGTGTTGACATGTCATGGGGTTGGCAATCAATGTCACGAAACAATATGTGTATTAATTGTTTAATGAGAAACTGGTTTGCTCTGTAAACCTTCATCTAAAGTACAATAAAAGAAAAAAAGAAGTATCCCTGTGGTTCTACTTGGAAAGACAAACACACATCTCACCGAAGTGCCACTCCTTCCCCACCACTGCCCTTATGAGAGCATGGCACAGCGCTTCATCCCTGAAGACTGCCATAGGTTACCTGGACCCATCACCTCTGTCTAGATACTTGAGGGAGTGTGAAAAGTGCAGATCTGAGCCATGTATGTGTATTGTACGTGTGATGCATCTTATGGGTGTGTGCCTGGGTGTGTAGACATGTACGTTGATGCGTGTGAACATGTGTGTATGCATGTGTCCGTATGGGGATTTTTATGTATATGAGATGTATGTGCACGTGTCACTGTCAGTGTCTGGTACCTGCATGTGAGCGCCCATTGTGTGTATGTGAGCGTGCATATACTGTACATGACATATATATGATCATGCATGTGCCCATGTGTATGTATTCTGTGCATGTATAGGCAAGTGTGCATGCCTGTGTGTGCATGTATACTTGTGTCTGTGTGGGTGTGCAGTTGCAATTCTGTGTTGTGTGGCAGTTTATCTGGTATGTGCCTGAGCTTTTGCGGAGTGGGAAGGCAAAGGTCCCCATCTTGGGCAGCCCCAGGGACTGGGTGTGGGGAACCCCAATCCCAGGGCTCCCTTGGGATTCCCTCTAGGTCTTTCTGTCCCTCCCAGGCTTGTTGGCCTCTTTGGTTCTGGGAAGCCAGCGGTGTTTGGGGCTGAGCTGCCAACTTGGGCTGTGGCGAAATCTGCCAGCTGAGCCCCTTCCGGAGCTGCGGGTTCCTCTGGGTGTGGGGAAGCTGCTCTCGGTGACCTCCCCTCCCTGTCTTGGTGCCTCCTGGCATGCAGGACACACCTCCTAGCCCTGCAGCCTCGCCCACAGGAAGAGCTGGGTGCGGGCAGGCAAGGGGGTGCCTCACTGGGCGCCCTGCCCTACGCCGGTGGCTCACAGACCCTACTGCACTACTGCCCTCTCGCTAACAGCCCTGCGGACATCGCTGGGACCCGGGGCCCTGCGGCCACAACCATGTTTCACAGGAAGCGTAGCGTCTCCTTTGGGGGCTTCGGATGGTGGGTGACAGATGGGAGGGCGGCTGAGCAATGGGAGCGGACCCAGACCCGAAGTCTGGTTGAGTGCCGGGGCTGTCTGTGGAAGCAGAGGGCTCAGGCTCCGCCTGTCTGGGGGACCTGGGCTGTGTAGAAATGTCGGATCCTGGTGGGGAGCCGCGGCGACTAAGCTTTTCCTCTTTGTCCCCCGGGCACAATCTTCTAGGGCTCCAGGAGCTCAGAGGGGAGTGCCAGTGTGAGCCGAGTGTGTGTGACTGCCGTTCAGTATGAGTCTATACCAGTGCGTTCTTGTGTCTGTGTGTGCATGTCTGTATCTGTGGTTATTTCTGAGTGTGTGTACGTGCGTGACTGTGTGTGCAAGTATGTGTGCACATCTGTGGTTATTTCTGAGTGTGTGTGCATGCGTGACTGTGCAAGTGTGCGTGCATGTCTGTGGTTATTTCTGAGTGTGTGTGCATTTGTGCATGTCCGTGATGATGACTGCCAACCTGTGTGACCTTGTGTAAAGGCTGTGCAGGAGGCGTGTGCCTGGCTGGGTGGGTGTGCCTGTGTGTGTCACCACGTGTGCACCTTTATGTTTCTGAGGAGGTGCTGCCGCCTGCACCTCTGCTCCCTGGGTCTGTGTGTGCTCACGTCTGTGCGTGGGCATCACGGTCCTGTCTGTGTCATTCTTGTGACCTTGTGGCAGGGAAGCCTGTGGCCTGCTGGAACTTTGTGCTGCCTCCTCTCTGAGGGGATGAGTTGTGAGAGGAGGGACAGCCTGTCTCCAGGACCCACACCCCACCCCCAGGCACCCAGTCCTGCTCTGTCTGAGTAGGGTCTTCGATCAGCCCCTTGCCTGGCTCTCTGGGTCGCCTTTGGCCGCTAAGTTTCCCTTTGGGACAAGGGAGAGGCTCTTTCCTCCCCGGTGGGCTAGGAAGTGGGGGAAACTGAGGGCAAAGGGTTGTCGCTGGTTTCCAGCTGCTGGTAGCTTCTGCTCAGCTGGGGAACAGAGTCTAGTGGTTTCCATTACCGGCTTCCTGCCATCTCTTGGGCCTGGGCGTTGTCAAAGAAAAGGTCACCACTGCTGGGGGACGGTGTCCTGGTGTGGAAGCGGGTGGGCTTATGGGGGACACAAGGGGTGAGGGGGCAAGGGAGGCAGGACAGAAGGGCAGGGAAGAGATGGGCTCTGTTCCTCCGCTTAATTACTTGCTTCCATATGTATGAAGCTTTTTCTTTCCATTTTTCCATCTGTGAGAGCACATTGCTATCCATCCTCTGGCAGGGAGGGGTTGTGGGGGCTTCGTGTTTGGCAGAGGGTGGGGATGGATTACCCAATCAGCAAGGTATGCATGGGCTTAATTGTGCTTACTTACTAATCTGTAGTGAACAATTCCATCTGGTTTTCACTACATCCGAAGTTTTGCACGTGGCAGGCATTTAGTTGGGGCCCATCAAATTTAAGGGGACGGCAGGGCCTTCTGGTGGGCTTGGAGTGTTAGGGCGGCAAGACAGAGGGTTAGACTGGAGACGTGCGTTTGGACATTATCCGGGTATGGCTCTCAGCTGGGAGGGGATCTCCAGGTCAGCCGGGGGCTAAAATGCAGATTCCTGGAGTCCTGGCCCACTCGGGACAGGTGAACGGGAAACCTGTGGTGGTGGTATTTAAAAAGTGCCACTGGGTGCTGGTGCAGATTACCACTGACATTAGAGGTCGATAGGTGATGAAGCTGAACGGGTTGGGGAGGGGAGGAGGAGAGAAGGCTCCAGGGAGAACCCAGGACTCTGGATTCTGAAAGGGAAAAGCCCAGCCTCACAGCCCCATCTCAGCCCTGCCACAGGCCCTGCCCTTCCGGGGTCACACCCAGTGTGGGAACCCTGTGGGCAGGCCACAGGATAGGTGGGAGGCTTAGGGAGTGAGGGTGCTGGCGAGCACTTCCTCCCTGCCCCAGAGTTGGCCTCGCACGGCGCTTTTGCGAGGATGGTCCCGGGCACTGTGGGCAGCTGGATGTGGCGGGGGCTAGGGGCCGCTGTGACCAGAGTGCCAGCAGGTGGCATGGTGGTCAGAGCTGACCACATGGTTGTCCAGAGGCCACCATACCAGTAGTTCGGTCCTCGAGTGCTGTTAATGGCTTCACTGAGGAACTTGGACAGGACACTTCTCTCTTGGTCTCAGTTTCCCATGTGTAAATGAGACTTTTGCTCTACCCACAACATAGGGATGTTGTAAGAATTGCAAGAGATCCATTGAGAAAATGTAAAACGTAAGGGCTTATTATTTGGGGTTACAATTGGATTGAGTAACCCAGGTGGCGCAGTGGTTAAGCACTCAGCTGCTAACTGAAAGGTCAGCGGTTCGAACCTACCAACCACTCTGTGGGAGAAAGATGTGGAAGTTCACTTCTGTGAAGATTTACATCCTTGGAAACCTTATGGGGGAAGTTCTACTCTGTCCTACAGGGTTTCTATGACTCAGAATCACGGCCGTGAGTTTGGTTGGTTTTGACAATTGGATTGCTCTGGGCTACAAATATTACCGTAGAAGGTGGGGATCTGACTCCTCATCTGGGGGAGGAGGTTAAATGGGAGAGGAGGGTTTACATCCCAGAGGGGATGGGGGGCCCAGGGTGAGACTCTTGGGGACCAGTAGTGGAAGGCCCAAGGAAGGGGTCTAGGAGAGGGTGTGGGGAAGAAACTGGGAGGGACCTAGACCCGCAGCCTCAAGTGGGGCTTGTTCTGCTGTTGGGAACTGAGAGCCTACTCAGAGTGAAAAGATCCTTCCACCAGTCCAGGGCTTGGTGTTGACTGTGCCGTCAGCGCTGACAGTTTGCGATTGCTGGGGCAGCCCTGTGTTCTCAGCACTTGGCCCCTGACACCTCTCCCTTCCCGGTGCTGGCCCCATTAGTCATTTGTATGGCAGAGCTGAGCTGGCTAGACAGGGGTGGCTGAAAGAACCTTCCAGGGTTTCAAGCATCCTGGAGATGGGGTGATTCTGGTGACATTGGTGGTGATGGTGGTGGTGTCACGGATGGTGGCGACCCTAGTGGTGGTTAGATAACAAATGGTGACACAGGTGGTGACACTAACCAGTGATGGTGACATAGATGGTGACTGGTGCTGGTGGCACTAATGATGATGATGACACTGGTGGTAGTTATATGTAGTGATGGTGACACTGATGGTGACATGTAGTGATGGTGGTGGCACTGGTGGCTGTGGTGATACAATACTGATAGTGATAGTGACACTGGTGGTGGTGGTGATGGTGGTGATGGTGACATGGGTGGTGGTGACACGGGTGGTGATGATACACGGAGTGATGATGACACAGGTGGTGGCAACATGGTGGTGACACTAATGGTGATGGTGACACGTGTGGTGGCAGTGATGACACTGATGGTGGTGACACTGATAATGATGGTGACGCTGGTAGTGGTGACCCCTAAACAAGAGTGTACTCAAACAGTGGGAAGATTGCCCACTGCTCTGTCTCTGGAGAGGGGGAAGGGGACCCTTTATAGCAGCCATAAGGCTGGCATATGCAGGGGGTAAAAACAGAAGCTGAGCAGCACTGCCTTGTCTTCCAGGGAGGGCGGGCACAGGCTGGGGGCAGAGGAGCGGCTGACAGGACAGTCTGCAGAGAACGTGATCTTCCCTGCTCTGAAACTCCGCCTGATGGAGCCCACCTGTCGATTCGCCCTGGCGCCTGTTGTCGAGTTCTGTCCCAGGAGTGGGGTCATGAACTGGCAGCAGCTCCCTGAGCAGAGGGTCCCTGGTGGAGGTGGCGCTTGCATCTTCCAAAAGCAGAAGCCCAGGAAACACTGATGTGTTGATTGTCCAGCTGCTAGTGGCCAGTGGAGATGGGTTGTAGAGTCTTCTTGTGGGAATGGAGATGATAAAGGGAGAGGCCACATACAAAATGCTTAAGACCCCTGGGTCTGGAGTCAGATACCTGGATTCAAACTGGGCAAGTGATTTTACCCTTATGAGCCTCAGTTTCCTCATCTCTATAATGGGGAGAATAATGGTACCCATGTTGTATGTGGCCCCAGCCCTCCCGGAGCTCACGGTCCTCCCCTTCCTGGGCTGGAGGTGAACTTCCTTCCCCCTGCAGCAGCTGTCCCCTACTGGACCCTGGCAGTCTGGTTGCTGGCTGGCCCAGGGACCCCTCCCCTGCAGATGCCAGATGGGAGGGAGCTTCCAGCCCTGGCACTGACTGAAGCCCCTGCTTTTCTCTTGGCAGGATCGACAAGACCATGCTGGCGAGTCTGAAGGTCAAGTAAGTAGCCACTTCCTGTTCTGTAAATTCACACGTGATGGCAGATTGTGTACCTCTGAGGCCTCGTTTCGCCTTACGCTGTGGGAAGATGAGTGGGGCTGTCGCATTTATCACGTTCTCCATCTCAGCCTGGGCGGCTTCTGGATTGGAGAAGGCTGGACCAGGCTGTGGATTCCTGGGGTGTCCAGCAGAGGCAGAGGCAAGAATGGAAGCAGCAGGCACTGGGGTGGTGAGAATGTGTGTGGGGGGTGTGACTTTCAGGCCACAAACTCAAGGGTGTAAGAAAGGTAACTGTATTTTCTATCACCTTAATTTCTATTTGAAGTCTCAATCCCACCTACCTGAAGAATTGTGCCACACAGTTCCAGAACCCCACAAAATGCCCTGGCATCAGGGTGTGTGTGTGTGTGTGTGTGTGTGTGTGTGTGTGTGGTCAGCTTGTCACTGAGTCATCTGTTACCAGACATACGTCACGCTGGCCAGTGTGGCCCCGGGGCTCTCTGAGGCCTCCGTCTGGGACTTGCTGAGGGAGAGAGCTGCCATGATTGTGTCTGCTTCAGTTTACCGTGTGCCCACCGGTCTGAGCAGGCATGCCTCTCTCCTAGAACCCCTGGACCTCTCTTACTTCACCACCTTTGTCCCTTTTGCCTTCATGCTTCTGTCCAAACCATTTTGTCTGCATCCTGATCCTGTTCCCCCTTAGAGGTTTAACGGAAGTCTATCCTACTGCCGTCTGCGTCCCTCCCTTGGGGCAAGGGTACGCCTGCTAACCACCAGCTCCAACTGAGTGAACCGAAAGGGAGGGAAATTCAAGGAGGGAAAAATAGCATTGGTCACTGGCTCCAAATATTATCCTGCCACGTGTGAATTAGCTCCGCATGAAAAGTCCCCCCAGTAAGTTGCCCCCCTTCAGAGGCAGCGCCTCCAGTCATAACTCCCCCATCTCAGGTTTTCCAGGCCAGCCTCCCTCTGTCAGTGCCATTCAGTCACCAGTATTGACCATGTCTCCTCTGGATACGGGTGCCTGGGTACAGGTCACTGGGCAAGGCACAGCCAGCCTTGAAGACCGACATGGAAGGGAGTCGAAATAAGAGACTTCCTGCTCTGGTTTGTTCTGCTCAGATGGGCCAGGGTGGGTAGTTAGCAAGGCTGGGATGGAGAGAACTGTCCCTACCCTCTGAGAACTTTTGGTCTCTCTGCCAGGGCTGCAGTGATAGCAGTCCCAGAAGACTGCCAGGAGGAGGTGGCTCTAAAGCAGCTCTTGAAGATGGAGAGGGACGGTGTGCTCACCAGCCTGCACTGGGTTGGCATGGGGTGTGCGTCAGTGCAGCCCAGCATTCACAGCAAGTCACTCTTGGGCAAGATGCTTCACTTCCCTGGGCCTCAGTTTCTGTAGCTTTTGTCCAATGGGCACGGCGATGCCTGGCCTTCCCAGAGCTCCCCAGAGCTTCTCTGCATATTGAATGAGATGCCAGGCATGAAGGCAGAGTTCCTAAGCGGTGTGGGGTGGTAGGAGTGTTTCTTTTGGTGCTCTCCTGGGACATTTAGTTCAATTTCACAAGCATTTATTGAGGGTCTGTTTTATGCTTTAACTAGTTAAGATGACTTTTATAACCTGGAAGGGGATTAGTTACAGAGTTGAGGCATCGGCTGCTGTTGGGAATGGGGCCCCAGTGGGGTTTCTGGGTATCTGGGGCAGCCTGGGGGCTCAGGCACTGGGGAGGGGGTATTGAGATAGTGGTTTGGGGTGTTGTGTAGGACTGTGTTCCTGGTTGTACTTGGTTAAGGTTCTTTTGATGGCAAGAAACAGAAAGCCAGTGTCGCCTGGTTAAGCAGAAGGTTAAATTTATGGACAAGGTCTCAGGAGGCCTTAGGGAACCCAAGAGGATGGAGTGGAGATAGAGCTTAAGAGGGCTTGAACCAGGAACTGGAAGACTTTAGGACTCACTTGTGCTCAGCTATATTTGCTGAATGAATCAGTTATGCCCATCACATGCAGGTGGCGGGATGAAGAGAAAGAGGCGAGGCCAGCCTGTTCTGGGGGCTGGCTTGAGACAGGATCCCCATCTGCCGTAGTCGAGCCTTAGTCAGACGAGATCCGCCCAGAGGAGAGGTGAATGCCGGAAGTCAGGGCCAGGTGTCTGGGGTTTGCTCATGGAGGTTCCTGGAAAAGTATTCAGAGGGTGAGGACCTGAGCTGGGAGCCTCAGGTCCTTTCCTTCACCCCTTTTCGCTGCCCCCTGCTCTCCCTCCCTAGAGACCTCTGCCTCTTTGCTAAAGAAGGAAGGGTGTGTGTGCACTGCACAGGCTGGAAGGCCCTGATGTGGGCTCAGCCACCCGAGATGACCATTGTACACAGAGACTGGCTGTTGAGTGACCAAAAGTGCAGCCTGTCTCCACTGCTGGGGGCACAATGTCATGTACACCTCTGATGATGGAAAAATCTAGAATCCATTTTACCTTATAGGAAAAGTGATCCAACTTTTAAACTGGATGGTCCCAAGAAATGACATCTCTGAATAGGAAGGAGGCATGCGAAGAGACATAGGGGCGATAGTGTCCTCTTACTTCTTCTACAGGAGAGGGAGGGAGAGGGCCCCGGGGGAGCAGTCTCCAACTACTTGGGTAGGGGCAGCATTTCAGCTGTTCTATGGCTTGACCAGAAGACACCACACACAACCACCTTTACTTGAAGCTCCAGGATTCAAAACCCTGTTAGAAATGAGGTGGCCACTAAGGGCAGGGGCAGGCAGTGTGTCTCATCGTAGCTTCCCTTGGCCCCTGGGGTCCCTGGAGGCAGCTGCTGGAGACACTGTCCATGCAAGATTGGGCCTTGCCAAATCTAGAAAGCTCAGTTTATTGCTATGTCACAGTCCTTTTAAACTTGGGACTTCCATCCCTATTCTGCAAGAATTATGCAAAATCTAGGTGATTGCCTTTACAGACATCTCCTGGGTTTGTTGATATTAGCAAGACCACATTCTCATCTTGGGGGAAGAAAGCAGAGTCAGGGCGCAGATATTCCTGAACCAAGTATCTACCTACAGTTTCTAGCCTACCTTCTGGAAAACCCATTTCTTTATAGTCTGACCCTGGATTTCAATTCAATGGCTTTTTCATGCATGGTTTCGATACTGAATTGGGTTGAAGACCAAGACTACAATTCACTGCCTTACCTTTGGCCACCATGTCTTTGTTTACTGTGGATTACTAGAATCCTCAAGACATTCCAGAGCTCTCTGGGGCTGACCTATCCCAGTCAGCTCCTCTCCTACGTCCCTAGGGCATCTGCTGAGAGTTTGCTAGGGTTGTCAAAGATATTGTCAAAGATAGGATGACCTTGATGTTTTGGGGGTAAATGGCGAATCAGTTAAACAAACATTTACTGGACATCTACATTCTAAGCCCGGTGCTGGGTGCAGGGGTTGGTGGAAGAGCAAAGATGAAAAAGACCCAGTCTCTGTTCATGAAAGCTTACAGCCTCGCAGTGAGATGGACGCACAGACAGACCATTGTAATTGAATGTGACGAGTGCTAACAGAGATGTCCTCAGAGAGGATGGTGGAGGGCTTCCTGGGCTGAGAGTCTCCAAGGATGAGTAAGGTCAGCTTGGAGAAGCGGGAAGACACTCCAGGCAGTAGCAACAGCGCGCACCAAGGCAGTGAGGCATGAAACAGTTCGGCGTGGGAGGAACTCCTGAGCGGTATTATTTCCAGACAGAAAATAGGGTTGGGGTACGGAGCAGGCTGGGCCACGTCTAGGAGGGCTCTGTGGCTCGGTTCTCTGGGTGATGGGGAGCCATCCAAGGGCTTTAGCCAGAGTAGTAGTGTAGTCAGATTTGAGTTTGAGAGACCCCTCTGGAGCCACTGGCTGGCTGATTGGGAGGCTGGATGGGGGCAGGGACAATAGGATTGGAAAGAGTGGACAGGACTTGGAGAGCTGTCAAGGAGTGGACTTGCCAGCTTGGAGCTGGTTTGGATGTGGGCATAAGGGCAAAGGAGGGTTCAAGTTGGCAATTCTCAGGTTTCCGAGTGAGCCCCCTGGTTCAGGCAGTTTGCAGGAAGGGGTAGAGGGAAGGCTCTGCCTATAACATCCACCCTCCCTCTTTCCACTCTGTCCTTCTGTGTGGTTGGTTTAAATCTTAACCCTTATACTTACTGTCCTGCAGAGGGCACAGAGGAGAGGAGCAGCAGCTTGGGGGGTAGGAGCACTGGCTGCAGGCAGAGCTGGAGGTGGTCCTGGGCTTGGGCCCCGACCTTGCTCAGCTCCTGGAGTACTTTTGGCAGGTGAAGTCCAAGCGGACACTGGCTGATGTCAGCAGGGATGGATTATCCAACAAGCAAGGTACGCATGGGTTTACTTGTGCTTACTTACTAATCCATAGTGCACCATTTCACATGGGTTTCACCACATCAGGTGGTGAAAACAGGTAAAATTGTGCACTACTGATGATTAGTAAGCACCTTGCTTACTGTAAGCCCGTGCATACCTTGCATACTGCTTAATCTGCTCCTGGGTGTTGCTGTTCTTGTAACTGACGGCCGGCTGGCCTGGGCACACAGGGAACCTCTTTTCAGGCACCTCCAGGTGGACCTGAGGGGAGAATCCCTATTTCTGTCCTGAGTGTCAGGCCCTGACTCAGTGATTTCTCCTGGATGGGCCCCTGTGCTTGAGAACTGAGTTGGCGGGTGTGCGTGTGCGTAGGCGTGTCTGCGCACGTAGGTGTGTGTGTGTGCTCACCCATGCAGTGGCCGTGAGCTCTGAGGGCCCATGTGCGTGTCTGTATGGTGCCTTTTTTGGCTTTAGCGAGTTCCTATGGTAACCACGAACATGTCTGTTTTAGGATCTGGAGTCGTGGGGCGTGAGTGGCTACAGGGAGAAGCAGGGCGGGCGGGTGCTTAGCTAGCAATCGGGCTCTGGCCTAATTTCATTGCCAGGCACTAGGGATGCACCTGGAGGTGCCATTTGCCAGACAGCCAGGCCTGCAAACTCCAGGGACCT